ACAGTATTTTGGTTTGACATTTTTTCAACATTTCTTCTATACCATCGAATTTTCGTGGCCATCGGATTTTAATCAAAATTATAAGTATTTAAGAGGTATTAGTAAACATTGAAGCACGAATTTCGGAGAAACTCTCACTTCGAGCCTCTGAAAAAGAATAGGTCCCCGAAAATTGCCCGAAAGGTCCCAACAATTTGAAAGAAGTTCGGAAAGGTGAGTGACATTGAAAACTAGTGAAGTTTTTCAGATCAGAACAAAAAACAAATTTGAAATTCGAATTCACAGAAAATGGGCCGTATATGAGAATCGCAGGGGATACAGATACATATCCGCAAGCAAGGGTATTAAATTCACACGTTGAGTCATACACTGAAAAAATTCTCGAGGACCTACTTTAAAATATAAGAGGGACTGCTCCTCCATAGCCGAAGAGAAAATGGATGATACTAATGACTCTATGCTATCGAGGAGAATACACTCTTTTCATGAAGTATCAGTTAAGATATAGTCCAGGATTGGCTTTGAGCCGCGATGGTAATATTTTTCGATGTATTTTGGTGCGCTGAATACGAAAATGAAACTCATTTTTTCGAAAAAGTGTCCCAACAAAAGTTATTAAAAAAATTATTGTTATAAAATAATAAAATAATAAAATCTTGTTAAAAAAATCTGAGAAAATTTAAACATGTTCTTTAACTAATTCTAAGACTTCTTTGTTTTTTGCATGTTTTAATTTAAGACTTATCGAGTTAAAAAATCGCCAAGATTAAAAAATGGTGGTTTGTAGAAAAATTTGAGCGTGAAAACTACCTTTATGATTTTTTTATCTTGATAAGAAACGTCTTTAACTGAAAAATGCATGGAACAAAAAAATCTTAGAATCAGCTAAAGAATAGGTGTGAATTTTCTCAGACTTTTCAACGAGATATTATTACTTCATTATTTTATAATAATAAATTTGTTAATAAATTTTTTTGGATACTTTTGCGAAAAAATGAGTTTCGTTTTGGAATACATATACAGACGAAAAAAAGCCACGCGACAGCTAGGATGAGTTAAGCGGCGAGAGCAAGTGTAGCGTCTTGACAGTCGAAGGGGGCGGTTCCTCTTTTCAGCGCGCATCAATAAGAACGACGAGCATAGCTCATCGTATTGTACATCGAGTGACAAGGAGACATCTCGCGCGAACGGCCCCTCCCCTCTGATATATTTTGAGCCTAATTAGTTATTTCACCTTTTATTTAACCCCTTCCCACGTAATAATAGAAACGCGAGAGTCGAAGGAGATCTCGCGCAAGTAGCTTATATACAGATGCGTCACCCATACGCCAGCAATGTTTGACCACGCAGAAAACGGCTACGGAGTCGAGGATTATATACGAGAATCACCAGTTCAGTTCGGCCTAATAAAAAAAAGCGTACGCCACAGCTCTCTCTCCCTTTCTCCCTCTCTCTATCTCTCTGCGCTCTCTGATTTGTCTCTCCACGGACTCCTGCTGCTGTTGCTGCCGTTCTTTGACGCATTCTCCAAATACCTCGGGTATTGACCTTATTGCAGTCTTGTTGAGCGAGAGAGAAATTCGTTTTGAATATGTATTTTTCCCAACTCGAGTATATGAAGCTCTATGAGAGTGTACTTTGTTTTTTTACTGCGCCCGGCACAATAATTTATGCGCAGGCATGAACGGCATGGTGTCGAAACTGCATATAGACACTTAGATTCACGTACATCGCTTATCGGACGTTTATTCTGAACATGTTCATTTTTTTACGCTCGGTCAGACAATTTTAAATCGACAAAACATATGACGCGGTCTATTGATTTCTAGCAGCTAGCGGGATTAAAATATTTCAAATGTCTATTGAGGGGTCCGCTTCTCCACAGACTGCTGTGTGAGCATTAATCCTCTTATTCATTCACGGATTCTCCAAATACCTTGGGTTATAGACCAGGTATATTGACCTTATTGCGGGCTCTTTCTCAATCGCGTATTGATTCATCTTCCTTCGAATCGTTCTCTCTCTCTCTCTCTCTCTCGCTCTTACTGTGTATTGTGTGTATATACTCACCGAGTCTTAACATAAGTGTGTCGACTGTAAAAAGACGAGAGAGAAATTCGCACCCTCCGTTTCGTTGCTATACTGCCACTGCTGGATGTGCGAGGCGCGAGTTGTATAGAATATTTCACACTCTGACATGTTGTGTATAAAGCTAATGCTCTCTAAGCATATGACATCCTGTAAATAAGCTTTCTGGGAAGTTTAGAAAATTTAATAGATTATTTTAAAAAAAAATTGGCCTTTTATAAGATAATTTTGTTCGGAGGCTGAAAGGAAGCTAATTGTCTATTTAGCTGGAAAAAATACCGGCTAATGGCATGATTTCATTCGTGTACTGTGTATATAAGCTCATATGCTTTGTCGATGAAAGAGAAGGAGGGAGAGAGAACGAGCTATGTACATATACAGAGGCATAGCCGAGCGCTGGAGACTTTCTCTCCCCCACTTGGTATTAATGTGTAGTATACTGTGTATATGTATACCTATACCTGTGTATGTACGCGCAGTACTGCTATATATAGTTGGCCGCACATGGCCCAAGTATAGCTATAGAAAGATACAGGTATTCGCGTGTGGCGAAAGTGGTGTCTGGTGGACGAGGGGGTCATAGTTGCTGCTGGCAGCACAGAGGATGATCCCCCGCATACTGCTGCCGCTGCTACTACTGTACTACGCCGACCTAGATCCCCTTCCCCCGTCCGCTCCTCCGTTGCCGATACCGCCTTTGATGCTGCGCACTGCCCATCGACCAACGCACCCATCTAGTGGGAATTCAAGTGGTATGGAAGCGAGAGAACATAGTCGCGTGCCGCCAAGCGCTTTCTCTCTCTCTTTCTCTTTCTCTCTCTCTATGCTACTTCTGCTGCTCGCTGTGTATAATGCTATCGTATAGCATACGTACGCATATATGTCTACACGACTACGTGGGTAGATATAGAGGGAGAAGCGCACGCGATATATACCCTCCCAGCGTGCGGTACCACCGCCACCCCCGGCTGCTCACTCCGTCGCCCCTTCCCTTTACCCTCCTTCTTCCGCTTACCCCGTTCCCGGCCTCACGACTCCTACCTACGGCTCGCTTCGCTATAGTACAGCTTCAGCTGTTGCTGTGTATATGTTTCTGCTAAAACTTGAATGATTTCTATTTTTCATTTCCTTTTTCTTCTCCTTTATATACTTAGCTTCAAATCTTCTTACTTATAATCTTCGAGCTGTCAAAATATGCTAGCTAGCAACGTGAAAAGCAGTAATATCTTGTGACAAACACCATACACAGCTGTGTGTTGTTGGATTAAAATTCCCCGGCCATCAAATGGCCCACAGAGAAAGCGCGCGTTTATGTTTTCCAAAGAATATTGTGTATAAAAAAATTTTATTGAAACTTCACGAATGGAAATACCAAATGAAGTTATAATTCCAAAAATTTTATTAAAATGAGGACATATATCAGGCGTTTTAGCCCAAGTGTCCTTGCGCGGCGGCCACACGGCCCTTTTAGGCGAAAACGCTTAATTTCTATCTCGCTGTAAGACCCCCTAAACGCACTTAAAAAAAATATGTAGCACATGCTTTCGATAGGAAATTTCCTCAGCTTTCGAATAGTGTACTCAGATTTTTCGGAGAATTCAGTTTTTACAGGAAAATTTCAAAAATAAATTTTCAAAATTAAATATCTCAAAAAGCATATTTTTAAGTTTTTATAAAATGATCTCAATCGAAAGCTGAGGAAATTTCCCATCAAAATACATGTTTTCAAGCGAATACATTTCATTATTACTAGCTGAAATACAGCGATGAACAGCAGACGCAGCACCGCGAAAACCCGTTGGGACAAATAAAAATGAAAAAGAAAGTGCAAAAAAAAAGAAAAAAGACCCCCTAAAAGCACTTTCACCAATAAAAAGCAGCCACCGAAAGATGATACAACAATACATCAATAATACAATTTATCCTAGTTACCTGTACACTTCGAAGAAGCGAGAATAATATTTATAAAATTGCGTAAAAAGTGTACCTACGTAATAGTCATCGATATTACGATGACGGTGTGCGATACGAAAGTGGTGAACAACAAATAATTAATTAATTAATTAACTCGCGCCCTACAGATGTATATATAAGAATGATAATATTGATGCCAATTGTTGGAAAAATAGGACGCCATGATCGGTAAGGAGAATCGCGTGTGTACCGGTGTCGAGTATACGCACCCAACTCCTTATTAGGGATCTGCGCTGCGAGCAAATGATATGCAGTTATTATATTACGTCCATTTAAACTACACTACTGATCTAATTCTTCTGTGAACTCGCTTTCGATTCAAATTTTACAAGCGTTATAAAGTAACTCGAGTTGATCTTTTCATTGTTATAAAAAAAAAACACTTCCATTCATTGTTACTACGAGAGTAATCACGTCCATATGAAAATACATTGTTGGAAAATGTCACACACTTGAATCGAAAATTTTTCTAGAAATTAGCGTGCCAATAGTACTTACTGACAGATATCGAAAAGCCTACTTAGTTTTACAGCAATAATTGAGATTAAAAAATAGTACACTAATAATGCGTATATTGAATTATTAACAATTGAATAATTCTACATGATTGCAATTAAAAAGCTGCATTTATTATATAAATACGATAACTTTTGTTTCAAATAACGTAACTATTTTTGTATAGATTAGCACAATTGAAACTAGCCTAAAGTAATTGAATTGTTGGTAAATGAAAAATTACCTTTTTTTTTAGAAATTCTTTAAAAGAATTGTTCTATACTTCTCATACAGGAGGTAATAATTAATAAAGCAACTATTAGCTAGTGATTAAAAATCACGTACGTCCAATACTTTTCTGTATTATAGTAGGAATAAAATAATATTGTGTCTGTCAATACAATGAAAATTAAAAGATGATTTCTTGAAAAGTCATTGAAATTTGTATGTTTATGTAACTCTGTCCATTGTCAAACTAATTTGATTATAGTTCTTTCAAGGAGCATAGCAAACGTAATCTAATTACAAAAAAGTCACTTGATATTCATTAGTTCCGCACGACTGACTCAAAAGCGGCACAATCATCTTCCAATTGAAATTCATGCTTTGCTCCTTCGATAAGATGAACTCAATATTTTAATGAGATTATAGTATAACTGTTGGTAGTTTGTAAAAGGTCATTTGGCTGAAAGTATGAATAAAATATTAATTTGTTCAATTCTGTTTTGTATACTTTACTTCACTTTAACAAAATATCTACAAAATAACAGGAATTTCATTCAAGAACTTGAATAAAATTGTCATTCATTATCTCTGGCACAGATGTTTTTAAATCTATTTTTACTCCATCGGATTCACCCATTTATCCCTTAAAACTTCTGCTAAAGTTTCTCCATCCATTCTTTTGGGGTCATTTTTGAATGCTATTGTTGCTTCATAGCGTGATTTATCCACTTTTGGAAAAATTAACAGATCTCCATTCTCATGTAAGTAAGTACTAACTGATTCTGGCTCTGGTAGTTTATCCGGGGCATTCAAAGGTGTAACTTTAATAAGATGCTTAATTTTCCAAAGCATAGAACACATTTCTGGTGTATTTTTTACAACTGCATAGTGTTTTGTATTTTTCTAATGATAATAATAATGAATATAGATTAACAGAAACAGATAAAAATTAATAGAAAATGTTTTTAAATTACCTCTCCATGCAAGTTAATATTTTTTAAGATCTGTTTTTCCCAGTATGGAATACCTTTGTATTGCTTGACCCTTTCAATCAAGAATAACTTAGTTGGTGTAATAGGAGGATCAACATGATTTTTATGTCTGAAATAGGATGTTTTTAGTGTTTTACATAACAGTACATAATATTCATCAACAAAATATACAAGTGACACATACCTGGGATAGTAGGTAACTAAACCATACTTCACACCATCTTCTTTCCATATTTGAGGAGTACTATTATGTTTATAAGTTCTGACTTGATTAACAAGACACTGCAATGGCCTCAACAACTTTTGCCTGTCAACATATTAATGAAAAAAGTCAATAAATTGATTATTATCTTCGAATCGACATACGATTTTCTATTGCAATTTTTGAAATATTCAAAACTGTCGTTTATTTTTATATTGTGCTTACCGTGACATTTTGAACTAAACACTATCTAATAACAACAAAAACAAATAATTGCCGAACCCGGACCATGCAGAAACTTTTTTGCAGGTTAAAGCCAAGTTTCGTGCGCGCACACTTACAATGTTGTGTTCTGTGCGCACACGGCACAGTGCAAAGTGCAAACACACACACACACACAGTACACAGTACACACACGTCGATGACACTCAGTACATACACACACAAAACGACTGAACTGTGCATATGAAATAGGTATCCCTTCATTGGTCGACACTTGTTTCGATAGTCGACTGGCGACCGGCAGTTACTTGACAATTTGCGCGTCTCTCTGTGTCAAAAATTCGTTAAATTTTGTTCTGTTACTGTTCAGCAATTATCTCATCAAAATGGTTGCTATAAATAATAGCGACGTATTGTTTAACAATTTCTTAAAAACTGCTGAAAATATCATTAATTATTACGGTAGGTTCTATAGATTTGCGAAGTGCAGGTTATGTGCGCGAGCGTATTTTTGATGTGTATTCAAATTATGTCCTTCAAATTACATTTTCAATTCTCAACTTACCTTAATTGCAGATGATAACAAAGACGAACGCAATAGAATATTGGCTGAATTAGACGAGGTCGTTAAAGAGAGTTGCGGACATGAAGATAAAATCAGAAAGATCAATGATACAATAAGACAAATGCACGACGATGATGTGAGCGATTTGGAAAAGTCATTGAAAAACTTTCAGGTTTGTTAATTAACTATATCTTCAGCTCTGAGTTGTTATTTTTACTGACATTTAGCATTTCAATAAGAATTTTTTCTTCTTTTTTTTTTCAGAAAAAAAAGAAAGAACTGCTGAAGTATACTCCAAACGTAGAAGAGGACTCTAACTTTGTTGAATTCAAACGACAGGTTGAAGAAATCGTTGGCAGTAAGTGCTCAATCACAAATATATCATTGCATTCGATTTTTCAAATTTTTAAGTATTCAATTTTCAATTATATAGGTGTTGATGGAACCAAATCGAAAGCAAATAATTTAAGCGATGATGATATAGAATTCACTCAAGATGACATTAATATAATTGATCCATTTACTAAAAAGCGGATGATTGATCCTGTAAAAAATAAAGTATGTGGTCATGTTTATGAACGCACCAGTGCAGTGTCTATGATTGAAGCAAACAACAAAACCAAGTATGTATTTTTGAATATTATTTTTCAATTATGGTTTGATGAAATTCTTTTACTCACTTGAATTATTCTCTTCAGGTGCCCAGTTATTGGATGTATAAACAAAAATCCAATTCTCATGGAAAATCTTGTATCCGATATGGTGACAAAGAGATATTTGCAACAAAACCCAGCTTAAGACATACATGAGTTTCAAAATTTTTTCTTTATAAAACTAGTTTTCTGTTGTTGAATTAGATTATTTCTTAAAGCCAAATTTAAGATTAAAAGACTTTCAAATATTAAGGAACAGTATTACATTAAGCGTTAAGTTGTAAAGATGTAAATCTTTTAATTTGGATAAGACTTATACTCTTATGTATAATAAAAATGTAGTTAAAAAAAAAAAAAATCAGTTTGTATTAATATAATTATTTTATTTGTAACTTAGTTGTCATTTTTTCATGTATAGTGAAACAAGTTGAAAGATGATATACAATCATACTTCTTGAACAACTTCAGTCAGATTCTTGTGTTAGGTTGTGTAATAGTGTTTAAAATTATTTAGGCTATGTTGATAAAAATATTGTCTTTAATATTATTAATTAAAATTCCATGTTTTGAATTTATTGCAAATGATATTTTACGCATTGATTTTAATAATAGTATCAGTAATGACTCAGGGTTCAGAAAAGTAGGAGATCCTGAATTAGATCTATCAAGTTACAGTCAAGAAGAGTATTTAAATGTAAGCGCCAACTACAACTTACTCTTACTTGATACGTAATGATATTATTTTCTTGATTTTAGTTTATCAGTAAAATTTTGGATTTCAATTTATTATCAGAAGGAAAGTTGGTCCCACTCCATCAAAATGATAGTATAAGACATTCCAATGTTCTGGGTAAAATTTATGTCAAATAAATTCGATAAGCTGGAATTTATTAGTGTAATGTCAAAAATTATTTGTTCTCAGAAAACATAGTCAATGACCATTCGAAGCCCAAACAAGATCAACAAGTTCAGTACCACTTGAATCGTCGTCTCTTGGCTAATGAAGACTACTATTACGAGGCAGATGGGGGGAAAGTTTTTGCAGAGCAAGCCGTCGAGTCGCCTTCGACAGAAAAAAAGTTCTTGAAAACCGTGGATGAGGACGACGACGAAGACTTTTACGATGATAGTGACGCAGACTATGGTGAACCTGCAGACCAATTTCCCGAGGAGGAGGAAAAAGTTAATTATGACGATTCCGTGATCGAAAATGAATCCCCTAATAAAGACGATGACGAGAAAGATGATGATAATGATAAAGAAGAAAAAGAGGGTTTGTGTATAATATTATTCGTTTTAAGTTAATCGATTTGCCAAATGTCTATAGTATATTTGAGATTTTAATATTTGGAAAGAGAGGCAAAACGTCGCGACGTCAGGTATCTCGTCTAAAATGTTATGTTATACACGATTTTAGTTAATTTTTCAAATTGATATATAACTATTATACATAATTCAACGATGTTCGCGAGGGTAAAATTTTTCGATGAATTCTGCTTGAATGACGTCCGTCACACAAAGAAAGAGAGAGTGATAATTTTGGTCCCTACTTTATATATTTAAGAGAGAAAAAGAGTAGATTGAGCTTAATTTCGTTCTCAACACTCTTCAATCCGTAAAAATGATTATGACTACAATATCGTGATTAAATGTATCTCCTGTTTACAGAGGCAGAGGAGAGCATTGATTTATCGGCGTCGAATCTACCAAAGCCGTCGAATCTACTCTACGTCTGTTCTATCGTCGTCTTGACGCTTTCGATCATTGGTGCACATGGTCTTTAATTCATAAATTTACTCTGACAATCGTGACCCGAATCATGTGAAAATTTGTCAATGTAAAGTATCAAAAAATAGACGTTTCACATCAAAAAATAAAGTCACGTTGTATTTTTTAGACGATCGCGTAAGTCCCAAAAAATATCATTTTATTTCAGCTTGTAAAATTTTACGAAATTAGTTGGCGCTCTTGCAAATGAATGGAGCAAATTTCCGGAAGGGTCCTAGCACTCGGCAGCGCGGAATATTTAGGCAGTATTAATAAATTTCTAATTTGCTGCAAAAGTATTGAATAGAAAAAATAACTAACTTTTTGATAAAAAATTTCCTCGGTTTTCCAATGGTCGCGACAGATTTACCGAAATGTTCCACCTGTAACCGGAAAATTACCATCATTCACAACCAAATATCTCTAAAACATCATTTATATGCTTCAAATGTTTATATTGTCAATCGAAAGATGAGATTTTTTAAATCGAGTATGGTCACAGCTTAGATTTCGCTAGAATCGCATTCTAAAAACCTACCTTACCCAGCGTTGTTACATAGGGGACTGCACGAGTCAGCAGTCTGTTCTACATTATCCATCGGTATGGCACTGCTAAACTTTGAATGTGGAAAATTAGAGTGAATTGAACCAGTTTTCGATTACTTGAAAAAATGCTTTCTTTTTTGACATCAAATCTGTAAACGAGCAAAGTGAGTATCTTTTTTAAAAACGTCCAAAACATTGATCCTAATTATTCTTATTATCAGTAGGTAAATTACTGTCCTAGGCCGCGAAAAACAAATAAGTCCCAGAGTATACTATTTTTCACACCCCGTGGCACGAAAATAGCCTTCACGTTTTGCGCGGCGGCCGGGAAGTAGTCAGCTCTCGATCCACTGAGATAAAAAAGTTATTCTTATTATCAATTGATAAGGTTGAACGAGCAGTTTCAGCGTAGGATCAAGGGCGACCGTAAGATGTCCTCCCGTCACCGCAGACTTGGCCAACCTATACTAGTAGCTCCGATAATGTGCAACTCGTTTTTATATTTTTCGGTGTTAAATCGCCTTACAATATAATGCAACAATTTTAATAATTCAGAAATATGATTATAGGCATGTTTTACATCTTCCTACGTTCATACGCCGTGACAATGTTATGGTTCTGTTCGAGTCAAAAGTTGTCAGCAAATTAAACCAACAATGAAATGCCTCAGCAATAATAGTATAGCAGTAACAGGCAGGTACAGTAGGAAAGTAAACGACCTATCTCAGCTCGGTAATCATTTGCAGCGAGGGCTAAATCGACTGTTACGGCACCTTTATGGCATCAATGACCTTATTAAAAAATAATTAGGTATTTCACTCCAGTTGAATATTTATAAAGGACTAGTATGCAAAAATAAATGCGTGAGCCTTCAATTTTAGACTGAACTGTAATTTTAAAATAATCAATGTATGTTTTTAGGTGAAATGATTGAAACTGAGATTAACCAAGGAGTTCGTTGAGTATTCAATTAATGCATAAATTGCCTTTCTTTTTACGTCAACTCTATTTAATAAAAAGATAAAAAGATAATGTAGTAAAGTAAGATTGCGTGAGAACAAACGAACCGGTCGTTAATATCGTTGCGTTTGGAATAGACATTCGCTTAGTTTCCTCGGAGTCGGGATCTTCGAGCTACTTGTAATTGAAAATTGACCGCAGCAGCGTCGGACTCACACACTGGCCACAACATTATGCAGAAGCTCGACGGGCGTCTCGTCTTGGCGAGCCTTTGGACAGCTGTACTTGGTCGTGTGTTCGGCTCTCGGTCAAGGACGATTTTTGATTAGATCGTCCGAGGTCAAGAACGAGAATAGCATCGGAGGAGCTGATCGGCGCTTATCAGCGGCTGGACTTAGGGATTCAGTTGTAAATCTCCTGCCGTATGATCCTTAGTAAAATTTTTTTTCTCTAAGCTGTTACGTGGTATCATAGAATCGAATTTCATACAACATAAAATTGAATTGATTTTCTTTTCTTCTTTATCATTTATCTCACTATTGCAATGAGTACTGTTTTCTGCTTCAAAAACAGTAATTACTAAGAACTCACTGTGACAGACGAGTTTATAAAATAAAGTCCTCTGATTCTTTGAATTCGTCAATTTGTATTGCACATCCAAAAACCCGTTTGTAAATGTCGTTAACTGACCTAGTTTTATGATTTTTTAATAATTTCCATCCGAGCACTACTGTAGGCACGTATTAAGATAACGTTACACAAACATTCATTGAAAGATAAACAAATGGAGCTCTATAAAGCTAGTGACAGATCAGTACAGGAATACCCCGAAGGTTCGGTTCCTCGAGGGTACCGCGTATAACGAAGCATTGTTTGTATGCGAATTAGGGGGTACGGTTCTAAAATAATCAAATTTTTACAATATACTATTTTAAGTTCTTTGTACACTTGTATCGCTAAATCGCAGTAATATTTAAATTGCATACTTCGACTCATAGGCTACGAATAGTCGACTCATTAACATCGAATTTTTAGACAACTGCAGCAACTATTTCTCCATTTTTCAATAAAATCCAAAACTTTTATTTTGTCCGATAATGTCATGGGTTTTCTTTCTTTTTTCTTGTGTGTAATTTTTGTATTAGGAGCCATTTTACGATAATTTAATTTCTTTAAATATTTTGCAAAAAGAAATTTTCAAAGGCGACCTAATTTTTATGTTCGTGAATTAATAAACAAAGCATTGTTCGACGTGAATCTATCTTCCAAAACCGCGTTATTGCGAAACCGCGTATACTGGATCCACGTATAACGGGGTAGTCTGCATTTAATTCATCTTATACATAATTCTAAATTATGGAAAAAAGTTTCGATTCAAATTTTTTTATGAAAGAGACTTAAACTGTGGCCGATAGTACCCTAAATTGTAGAATAATTTATACGTTTAATTTATTTTTACTTATTTGACTTATAAAAAAGAGATGAACCTCAAAGTGAAGCATCGTAAAACGACCTCTGGCTGACACTGATGACGACGCCCGACGTGGGCCGACTCAATACGAGGGCCTGCGTGGTAACCGTCAACAGACAGTTAGTTCTTGAGTGACTTCAAAACACGAATGAAAAAATTGACACGCGCGGAGCGCGTTTAAAATACCGTAGGTGGGAAGGAAAAAAAGAAAATATTTTTATTGCTACATATTCGTTTATACACATAGCATTAGCACTCACTATCTCGTTATGTATATAATCTATGGATGCTCACGTTCGCAAGACAGCAAAATATCCTTCAATCTCAATACTCATATACACGCAAATTAATGTCGATAAAAGGCAGTGTTGAATTCAAATTATTTTTATTTATATGAGACATTTAAGCTTATCCCGTGTATGCATGTGCGTAGCCTGAGCAAATAAATATGTATAAAACATGTATAAAGAGTGTTTCAGTTAATCTACTCATCGTCGGAAATGTGATTGTAAATATGAATATAGTGAATCGGCAAAGTGACGATTTAATGCTTTTTATTTTACTTGGAGAACATGAGATTTTTGAAAGTAATTTTTGAAACTTGTAAACGCACTTCACTGCAATACATATTTTCGAGAAATCCTGTCGCGCTTACTAAGAAATCGTAGTTTCGAGAAACACGCGTTGAACTTTCCCGTAAAAAGATTCGCGCAACTTTTTAAGCGAAAAAAAAGCACACAGCTTCAATTATTATATTAATCTTAACAGCACTTTTAGTGACATATTTGGTTCTGCGAAATGTATAATTAACATTATCAATCAATAAAGTAATTGTTTATAATTATTTCATTCAGATTCTTCGCTGAACACGAAATAAAACAACGTTTAAAATTGAATGAATTTATGCAAGAGCCACGTGTCAATTTAATAGATTCTGCGACACGTCCACGCAAAAAATCAATAAATCGTTGGTCAATAACCATAGTGAACTTGAACGAAGCGAAAAGCATATATGCGACGTATTCCACGCTCGACCAGATAATCCAGATATTCTGCAGTTATAGGCTCACGAAGAGGTTATCCTTTTATTCTAATTTCTCATAAACTAACTGCTCAAGAGTTAATATAAGTCGTTTTAAATGATTGATTAAGACATAAATGATCCATTCTAGGTATTCATTCATGTCTATATGCTCACTAGGAGGCTCAAAACATCAATATTCAGCCACGCCGCTACTAACTATAACTGTCCAATGAGTGGGTGGTTTACCTTACTTGGAACCGATCGATACGTGGTCCCGCCTGTTGCTGCTCCAGTCACGCGGCGGGGCTGGCTTATACGCGAAGGCGCACTCGAACTCTAGTGCGAGCTGCCATCATCGGCGTCTGCTTATAATTTACACGAATCTCTGATAAAGCAGATCAATATATAAATAGACGATTTATTTGGTACTCCTTAAGTATGTTATGAAGATTTTTCAAATTTTTATGAACGAAAATACCGAATAGTTTATTGGTTATATGCATTCGATGAAAGTCACAAAAAAAGATATCTCTACACTCTAAACCCAAAAGAGTAATTTTCGAACCTCAAAAGAGTAAACTGTGCGAATTACTCTTTTGAAAGAGTAAATAACGTAGATTATACTTTTTCGAAAAATGCTGAGTGGAGAAAAGCGTAATTTATTCCAATTACTTTTTTTGGAAAAGATTACTTCGAGTATAAGAATTTTGCGCGCAGATTACTCTCTTTGAATATTAAAAAATATTTTATTATATATACATGAATATATTAAAGGAGTTTATATTAAATATTCTGTCATATCTATATCTATATTATTCAGTAAAAAAGCGCGACAAAAAGCTTCAACAATTCAATAAAAACTATTCTTGTAAGTGTCGCTAGATTTTTTAAATAATTTACTTTTTATATTTGCAGTAATGAGAATATTTTTCGCAAAATAATTTTAACCACACTAACAAGAATAGTTTTTATTTAATTGTTGAAGCTTTTTGTCGCGCTTTTTTACTGAATAATATTATTATTTTTACTGAATAATAATATTATTATTACTGAATAATATTATCATATAATATTATTCAGTAAAAAAGCGCGACAAAAAGCTTCAACAATTAAATAAAAACTATTCTTGTTAGTGTGGTTAAAATTATTTTGCGAAAAATATTCTCATTACTGCAAATATAAAAAGTAAATTATTTAAAAAATCTAGCGACACTTACAAGAATAGTTTTTATTGAATTGTTGAAGCTTTTTGTCGCGCTTTTTTACTGAATAATATAGATATAGATATGACAGAATATTTAATATAAACTCCTTTAATATATTCATGTATATATAATAAAATATTTTTTAATATTCAAAGAGAGTAATCTGCGCGCAAAATTCTTATACTCGAAGTAATCTTTTCCAAAAAAAGTAATTGGAATAAATTACGCTTTTCTCCACTCAGCATTTTTCAAAAAAGAGTAATCTACGTTATTTACTCTTTCTTAAAGAATAATTCGCACAGATTACTCTTTTAAGTTCTAGCGTCAAAGTGAAAAGAGTAAACTGTTTCATTTACTCTTTTTAAAAGAGTGTAAGGATTGCAATGTAACGCATCAAATTTTTGTCGGAAATCAAAATATCAAAGTTTATTACAAAATAAAATACATTCGATGGATCCTGAATTGAAATCACGACGAAAAGATAAAAATTAACAAAATGGCGGAATAGCAAAGAAAATAATGATTTTAAAATTGTGATTTTAGTTCAAGAACCAGCAAAGTTAATTATCTTTAAAATATAAAAATATTCATATCGATATCTGTGGTAATTTTCGAGACATCTTGCCCCCCGTTCCAGAAATCATAGTTTCGAGATATACGCGTTGAAAATTCCACTTCCGCGTAAAAAGATTCGCGCCAAAAAAAGTTATAGCTTTAATTATTATATTAATCTTAACAGCACTTTTAGTAACATGTTTGATTCTCTTGGATGTATAATTATCATTATCAATCAAGGAAAAATGAAGCGTGGCACCGCCTTTACTGATTCTACTCATTATTTGAAATATCGTTTACAGTTATTTCACTAAAGTTCTTCGCTTAGCACGAAATAAACGAACGATAAAAATTGAATGAATTTATGCAAGAGCCTTGTGTCGATTTAATAGATTCTGCGACACGCACACGCAAAAAATCAATAAATCGCAGGGCAATAACCAAAGTGAACTTGAACGAAGCGAAAAGGTAGAAAGTGGACATAACTACACAGCACTGTAATTGCGTGTACGTGATAATAAATAAAAAAAAAGAGTAAAATAAATAAAAGACAGAGAGAATTTTATTTGAGCCACAGAATGATTTATGTGCGTATTATGGAACGCAGAACCGTTGCGACGCGTGGCATCCGTCAAGGATAAAATCAAGGTCACTTGTAGGCAGAGATGCAACAGCGCGCGAAATCTGTTATCAAGCTTGTAATTAGACAGGGCTGCTTTTTTTCTGGCCTTTCTCTTTTTTTTCGCTTCGATATATATGTTACGCGAAAAAAGAAATGAATTGCATGCAAATACAAATTTGTCTCTGTCGAATTTTTTTATAGAGTAAATAAAATTGACAAGTTTTCTAATCCTGTATTATATCTTAAACTTGGTCCAAAAGATAAAAGGTTTTTTTGAAAAAAATAAAAATTTCAGATATTATTTAACTCGACGATAAGAAGTGTGCCCAAGTGAAAGGACAATAGTAAATGAAAGGTTTCAAAACAGTGAGTTTTCAAATACATTTTTTATTGTGCTAAGTAAATTTTATTTCTGAAAATACATATCCATAAAAATTTTGTCGCGTACAATATCGATAGCATATACAATTGTATTACAAATATTTAATTATACGACAGAAGTTCATTCTGCATTTAAAAATTGTTTACTTCCAATTATGAATTATTTCTTTGAATTACAAGTGATATCAGCCTCAGCTCTAAAAGCATTGACGTCTCCAAGAGCGATTGTGTCGCACCTCACTTGCCGAAACATGGAAATAACTGAGCATACTTTCATATTGATTTCATCATTAGAAGTTATTAGATATTCTTGTCGTACTTGCCAGGTACTAATGAACTCATGGCCACGGTTCTTAAATCTTGGTGATAACCGTGCCGATCTAATTAAATTCATTTAATACAAATATATATACCTCAAATGCCGATATGAAATCCGGTTATCATGTCCACAGTTAATACGGCCGGCCGGTTAATGTGGCTATAATAAGCGGATTTCACTGTACATCAGAGACCCCAATATAACATCTATTGAATTTTTGTTTCATAGAGAGTTCATAATTTTTCATGTAACCTAAGTACATTTAAATTCTGAAAATATATATTCACCATTGAACTTGACACATACAATTACAACAGCATATAATATTCAATCAAAATATATGTATATCCTTTACTCAATTTAACATAGTAGCAAAATAATCATTCATTTTTTTAACACCAATACAATATAACCATTATTATTTTTGTAACGTAAGTACAATTAATTTTTGAAAATACATTCATTAAGCTTGGCACATTTAATTTCAACAGCATATAATATTCTATCAAAATATATATCTTTTACTCAATTCAACATATTAGCAATATGATTCTCATTCATTTTTTTATCATCAATAGAATTTTCTTTTTATAGAGATATAATCATTATTATTTTTGTAACGTAAGTACAATTAATTTCTGAAAATACATTCATTAAACTTGCCATCTATAATACCGATAGCATACAATATTCAATCCAAATATATGACATGAATTTATACTGCATTTAACATTTTTTTCTTTGGAAAAATTTCATTTTTCGAATTAAAATTTTCATTCACATTGTTTCGATACTTGTTAATTATTTCGTTAGATACGGTTTACGATACTTAATTTTATCCAATAAGACTCGAATCGAAAGTTTTTCGCGTTAATTTTTTAAATTAATTTAAATACCGATCATTCCAATTCAAGAAGTCGTTGTTCCGTACCTGCGTCCCGAGATGAGGCTCGGAGGCCGAGCGTTTTATTTTCGGCAGGCTCTCGAGAGTCGTCAAGATCTGACTGAAGAGCGGCCTCTTCTCGCGGGCGTACTCGATGCAGTCCTCGTTGAGGCGGCGCAGCGCTTGAGGCGTCTCCGAGCGCAGCTTGGTGAGGTCCGGGCGCAGGTAGCCGCGGCCGACCATGAACAGGATCTGCTCCTTGTTGCTGATGTTGGAGTAGGGCAGCTGACTGGCAAGCAGCTCGTACAGCACGACGCCGAACGCGTAGACGTCCGACTGGAACGTGTATGGATTCTCATCGTTCATTCTAATAACTTCCGGTGCCATCCACAAGATCGAGCCGAACGGTTGGTGGCACTGCAGCGGGCCGGCCCAGCGCGTCTTGTCTAGGGCCAGGCCGAAGTCGCCGATCTTCACCGTGAGATCGTCGCGCAGGAAGATATTCCGACTTTTCAAATCGCGATGAATGATGTTCTTGGCGTGGAGATAGCTCATTCCCTGAGCGACCTGTCGGGCGATCTTTATAAGCGTCGGCAGTTCGAAGTTGGACTCGAACACGTGCAAGTGCTTGTACAAAGACGAGCCCTCGCACCACTGCGTCACAATGGCCAGTGGTGGTTTGCTTAAATAGCCTAAAAAAAGCAGTATATTATCATGGCGCATCTTGCTCAACAAGATCATCTCGTTCTTGAAGGCCTGCAGCTGCGCCTGGGTCGGTATCTTGACTTTGAGCTTCTTCACGGCCACGGGGCCGTGCCAGTGCGCCTTGTAGACCGTACCGAAGGAGCCCGAGCCGATTCGCGGCCCCACGATGATCTCGTCCGCGGATATCTCCCAGCTGTCGATCGGTCAAATGTAGTCGATCAAATCTCTCGATATTTGTTCCAATGATCGGGAACGTATCTGCAGTTTCTGCATGCTTATATTGGCTGGGCAAGGTATCGTAACAACGGATAAGTCTATCAGTGGATAAGATTATCAGTAATACTCTAATTTTGTAACAATGTAAGCAATAATAGCTGCACGTAAACAAGTAAGGAACACTTTTTTTAAACCCCAAACAATAATCTTAACTATTATTTCACGAAGAATTAAAATAATCAATGACTCATACATTTTTTTTTTTTTTTATATAAACAAGTCACGTACGTTGCTCGGTGCTTTACGAGATGAGAGATGCGTTTAGTGCGAATGCTTCACATCGACTGAGTACGTAGCTTTATTGCTAAAATTGAATCGCAAAAAGGACAGCCTTTTTCATGGCCAGGGGGTGGAGATTCATTTATTGATCGACGCAAAGACGGATTTATCGCTGCGCACAATACCTGGTAGATATATCGCTATATATGCGTGTCTAACGCACTTTTACATTCCGTGATGTAGCCTTTCTCTATTGGCCCGAGCGTTCACACAGCGTGGCGCTTTCTCATGTTAATTCTCATAAGAAAAAATTTTGTTCGAGCGGCCGACGCTGGCATTTTTTCAGGACGCGTCCTGTTTTTTCATAAGATTACGTGTAAATGGTGACTGTAGCGCCACTCTAAGCTCCACCCAAACGCTTAGAGCGAATAAAAAAAAATCTATGAGCATCAGTAAACAAATCAGATAAAGCCGAATCGCGAGCAGTCACACATTGAATTACTTGTACTCGCATCTCACGCTTTCTAGGCCAGGGATTATAGTTAAAAAAGAGGTAATTTTTGAGCAAGAAAATTCCTGCAATCTAATCCGGTAGATGTATAAAGTATTGAAAATGTTGCATTGTGGTGAAAATGTACCAACCAATTATTGTTTATAACAAAATGGCGTTGTGAGTGCAAAGAGCAAGTTGTAGGTAATCGCAAGACCTTTAAAATGACGCATCTAGCGATTGAAAAATCCTAATTTTCATCGAGATATTCACGAAAAACCGCAAAAAAAGCCATGATTTTTCGAAAAGTCATATATCCCTTACTTTTTATCGTACAGAATTAAGATTTCACGAAAAAGTACTTTGAATCATCTTCAAAATACAGAAAAAAATTGAAATCTCTAAGACTTATAGTTTTTTTGTAATCGCTCATTCAAAATTTATTTTCAATTTTTTTTATGTTTTTTTGGAGCTCATTCTTGCCCAGCGGAATAATTAATCTTAATTTAAACAATGATTTTAGAACCTCCAAGCCTTTCTCTACAAGTGCCATGAACATTTCCTATCTCCAAAATGCATTGTACTAGCTGAAAAAGTGATTCGTAACTCGAGCGTTTGCTAATATTTGCACATAATCGAGCGAAGTCGAAAGAAGTGAGGGTAACTTCTTCCACGCAAAAAACTTTTTTTGCTTATTTTTCCAGTTTTACGGACGCCATTTTGTTATAAACAATAATTGGTTGGTACATTTTCACCACAATGCAACATTTTCAATACTTTATACATCTACCGGGTTAGATTGCAAGAATTTTCTTGCTTATCAAAAAATCTCTATTCCCCGGCCTATTCTATAAAGTTAACTTTTTTTTCGAACATAAATTTGAAAATAATTTTTATTTTTTTTTTTTAAATATGACTCGTCCTTTGAAATGAGTACCGGTTACCAGTGTATAGAAGAGAAATAATAAATAATTTCAGCAGATGCACAGCGTTTCTTTTAACGAACATTAAATTACGACCCAATCAAGACTCGAAGCCTACAGTTTAGATAAGGTATCGAAAAATCATTAGAGAATTATAAAAAGTTGTACAAAGATCTAACCGCAACTCGATCTGGAAAGGTATTCGCGCTCGAAGTCGATCACAGTTTATGCTCAGACCCGAGCACAAAACGCTCTCGGGTTCTGATGCGAGCGAAGTAATTCTGAGTTTTGAATTTGAAAGATGAATGTGTCAAGTTCCAATAACGTAAACGAAAATTTTTCTTTGATCGTTAATTTATGCATTTGCGTACAATGATCTTATGCATGGTGTTTAAAATCTTTATAAAAATACTTTTTGATTCGATTCGAAAAATCGATTTTACCATATGACATATCGTGTTTTGTATTTGCATTGATTTATTTAAAAAAAAATGTGTAAAACCAAAGTGACACTCATTACATAGTAATTCACTTGACCATAACATTTAATTCATTGTAAAATTGACCAAGTATTGCATTGTGTACGGATGTTGCGAGAGTCACTGCCCTATATATATTTCTTATATTCAATATTTATCAATTTTTTGTTAAGTATATTCAGTAATTGTGACTGAGTTCTGACATCAAATATAACAAGTTTTTCATATTTGCAGAAAGAAAATAATTTTGGTCATTCGACTTCACAGATGATCGCCCTTATAATAAAAAATAAATATTTAATAATATCCATTAATTAAAAATTACTTGATTTCAATAAAATATTTATTTGTTCAAAATAAATATTTTATGGGTAAACAATGAAATCGATTTTGTTGAGTCAATTAAACGAGTCTAGCAGCTTGAGCTATAAACTATGTTTCATGTTTAACTTCTCTTTAATATTAATAAACATAATTAGCTCAGCTACTTTCATATTGAGGTTAGATTTTCAGCAATATTTAGATGTTTTTAAATCTCAGATTAGTACTAATTCTCTGCTGCCGTTACTTTAAAAGTATTTAAATTTAAAAGTAAAATAATATACCTATAACATACATAAAATAATGAAATGTTTACATAATAAAATTACATGTCGATACGTCACGCGTAAGTGCTGCTACCCTTGAGCAGTTTTTGACCAGTTTTAGCGCATAAAAACCATCGAAAATTACCCAGTTTCTAGTCATTAAAGTAACTAAAATCATGTCGTTTTTATCACATTTTGTCGGCCAATAGACACATAAACTGGCTAGTGGAAGTCAACAAAGACATAAACTGGTTAACTTATGGTTTAAGTTTCTACCAGGGTGTAACACACTGTAAACAACAATAAATGTCGAAAAATGTGCAGGAAAAGTCGAAAAATGTCCCATTCAATTTTTCTGAGAATTGGCCCAATTCCTTAAATTAAAGAGGCTTTAAATGCTCGTAGCTCCAGTTTATATCGGTATTGGAAAAATTCCGTATTATCGCATTCAGAATCGGCTTTGGCAGACGACATTTCTCCAAGATAAGCTGCTGGGCGATCGGCTCCGGCAGACGATTGTTCATCGAGGTAAGCTGCTGGATGATCGGTTCCAAGTAGACATTCAGTACGTAGATGCCTTTTGCGCGAGCTATCTGGCGCTCGCGTATGAACTCGAATCTCTTGCCGAGCATGTCGGCGTAAATCGGATACCGATTCCGGCGCTCGTGCTCGTAGAACACCCACTCGATATCGCGGGAGGTCAGGTCCACTTCCAGGCTGCTGTCGATGTCACGTAACGTGAAGATCCTGTAGACCGAGCAGGATGTGTCGTTGCTGAAGCGGTATTCGCGCATTCGGTTGAGCTCGTTCTGGCACTCATGGCTGAACATTGTGAGCCAGGGAGCCTTCTCGTCGTGCGCCAGCTGTTCCAGCGAGTCGAGGGTTATCGTGTATATCCGCAGATTCAGCTGGACGAGGAGCTGACTCCTCCTGGTCGACTCTCGTGATAGTCTCAACGAGCACTGGAGTGGCAGGTAACCCTCGCAGTACATCGCCTCGTTAATGGCTCCGTGCTCCAGTAACAGCGCCAGCGACTCTTTGAAGCCCTGCTGGACCGCCAAGTCGAAAAGCGACGACTCGTGCAATACTTCTCTGTTCGTGGAAAATTGAAAATTAAAATTGAGTGAGTGAGCGTTACATCGAAAAACACCTAATTACGGGGACCTATACACCGATTTTTTCCCTTATGCTGATCGATACAAAGTGCAGTTAAATATCTAGACGATCTACCTTTATTACATAAAAATAACACCATTGAGTTCTCCAAAATGTGAATAAAATATGCAGGATACGCCTCTGCATCTAAAAATAGCTTATTTTTTCTATTTCAGCATGTTTGCACTCGGCCCTAGGTCTAAACCAGAATTTTGTTAATAGAGATCTGTAGGTCGATCAACCCATAAAAAGCATCTTTACAACGATTTTGGATTGACCTATATGTGGCGGCTACATTCAAGAGAGACTTCAATTGTTATTTTATTAATTCGAGAATTCGACGGTATACATGTAATCAGTTACCGATCGACTTCCATAGTTATCGCACCGACTCTGCGAGAAAGTTTAATAAATAATTCGTTGCTTGACTTGTGAATAATAATTAATATTTATTATTAATTAATTATCTTTATCCCACATATAGATCTCTACCATGAAAATTCTGGTTTAGATCTAGCCCAGAGTGCAAAAATAATTATATAGCAAAAATAAGCTATTTTTAAATCCAGAGACGTATGCTATATATTTTTTTCACATTTTAGAGAGCTTTGAGGTGTAATTTTTATGTAAAAAAGTGGTATATAACTACTCTCAATAAATTATAAAGTGGTTTTCTCATCAAAAATATAATATTATAAAATATTGAAAATAAAACATGATATATCAACTGAGCATGATATAGCCAAATATTTTTTGGACATTGGAATTTTTCTGAGTTATTATGTACTTTTTAAAATTTTCCAAATTATAAGAAAGGACGTAACTTTTGTAATGATCGATGTATCTTTAAACTTTTGGTCTGAATTGCATTTGATGCGCAATCAAAATATTGAAAAAAACTATTCTGATCCCCTATTAATAATGCAAAACTCTCCGTAAGAAATTGGAAATAAACCGTTGTACAATGCATAGAAAAAAGGCTGAGGTCAAATTGTTACTAACAAGGAGACCACCCCAGCTCCGGGTCATGGATCTTCCCCAAACTCATAGAGGGTACTTTGGGCACCTAGAAAACATGCCCAGTAGGTTTAGTTTGATCTCATAGGCCCCTGGAAGAAGTATAATGCACATGCTACATATAAATATTAATTATATGTAAAAAAACCCCTTCTATCATCACTTAATGTCTTCATGCGTATGAAATCAAGTTCAAGCTCCCTTAATATACTTGAACTAACTCTCTTTCATGTTCTGAACACATTGAAAAAGATTCACTAATCCAGCTTTAGTTATTAACTGTCAAAATCTGACAAAAGCGATCAAATAAGAGCCAAAACAGGCGCCAATATGCACTTACGTCTACAATAAAATTAAAAATATTTGTAAAATACAAACTGTTGTTGTTGATCCTTCTTCACCATCTCTTGACACGCAATTAGAGTAATTTTATTTAATCTTGAGTGATAGTGTGGCTTCATGATGATACCACACCATATCAACAAGCATTGTCGCTCAATAATAGAGAAATTGTTTATTACAGTGATTTCTTGGCGCCAATGCTCGTTGATATGGTGTGGTATCATCATGAAGCCACACTATCACTCATGATTAAATAAAATTACTCTAATTGCGTGTCAAGAGATGGTGAAGAAGGATCAACAACAAGAGTTTGTATTTTACAAATATTTTTAATTATATTGTAGACGTAAGTGCATATTGGCGCCTGTTTTGGCTCTAATTTGATCGCTTTTGTCAGATTATGACAGTTAATAACTAAAGCTGGATTAGTGAATCTTTTTCAATGTGTTCAGGACATGAAAGAGAGTTAGTTCAAGTATATTGAGAGAGCTTGAACCTAATTTCATACGCATGAAGACATTAAGTGATGATAGAAGGGTTTTTTTTACATATAATTAATATTTAAATGTAGCATGTGCATTATACTTCTTCCAGAGGCCTATGAGATCAAACTAAACGTACTGGGCATGTTTTCTAGGTGCCCAAAGTACCTTCTATGTGTTTGGGCCAGATCCATGACCCGGAGTTGGGGTGGTCTCCTTGTAAGTACTTTCTCCTCAAAAATAAAAACTTATTTTTTAATTTTTAAATAGACCTGAACAAAAGTTAATAAACGATTGTGGCCAAAAGCTTCTACAAAAAAAAATGTTTTTCACCATCGTTTAAAAGATTCTTCCGCTTCATCTTTATGGCATAAATGTACACTAAATACACCGTATTTCACTACACGCACGAACATGCACATATGCATTGACTAATCAGACACGTCACTGCTAGACGGCGCCCCACAAATTGCACCATTCATAATCGAATAAATATGGCAAATGGAATGAGTCAAGTATACCTTTTGCAGTTGGCACCAGCATCCAATAAAATTTGAACTATCTCCACCGATGGAAGCGCATAAAACAGAGGCGTTTTGACGGCATCGTGACTATCAATTCGATTCGGCCGCTCGACCTCCTCGAATCCCAAGTATTGTATGAGGTATTCAACGACCTCGACTTTGCCGAGCTTTATGGCCGAGTTGAGCAGCGTCAGCTCGTCCGGATGATGAGTCGCGGAGCAGGTTGCCGAACGGTCGCAGCCGACGCTCCAGTCGTTGTCGAGATGTAGCGCCGAACCTAGACTATTCGACCACCATCTATCATGATCGGCTCCGTGCTTCAGCAGAAACTCAACTTTTTTCCGTCGGCCGCTAACTATTGCACAATGCAGTGGTCCTTCGCTTTTATCGTTGACCGCATTTATATTGGCTCCTATACATGCAAAATTAATCATTAATGCATTCAAACCAAATTCAAATTCGCTAGTTTTTACCTTCGTTCAGTAGTATCTCTGCCATTTGTTCCTGATCGTTAGTCAGCTGTCCAGAATCCACCATCAGCTCGTGCAGCATCGTGTTGTTGTCGCTAGTTAGGAACGAGGTTGTCGCCTTGAGATCGATGTAAAGTTTGAATATTTCAAAATCGTTGGTCTTCATCGCGTAATGTAACGGCGTCTGTCCTTCACTATCCTGACCGTCGATGTTAGCCCCAGCCTGGTAAAGCTTCTGGGCATAATAGCAGAATATTAGTGACGACATTTTGTATGGTTGCCTGAACTTGCTCGCCGTGAGAAAATGCAGCGCTCCCAGATTCCCTTCGATCGTTCTCGCATCGGCGACGGCATTGTGAGACAGCAGATTATTCAAGGCCACGATGTTGCCCGTGTTGCAGGCCACGAGGAGGGGCGTCAGGCCTTTGCTATTGGCGTAATTTACCTGCGCGCTGAATTTCAAATGATAAGTATTGAGCTTATTTCTTTATTTAAAAAAAATTTCCATTATATTTTGACTAACCCAGCTTCTATCAAACATTTGAGAATCGTGTCGTTTTTATGAATTATAGCCTCCATTATGGGCGTTAAACCGCGCTCGTTTTCATCATCCAAAGGAGCGCCAATCATAAAGAGAAAGAAAAATTCTATCCCGGTTGCGTCACTTTTGCGTGCAAGCTGGTGCATGTCCATATTTCGGTAGTCAGGAAAAAAGATATGGAGATCGTGGGATGTGTCATCGAGATCGGGTAAAATGTAATCAAAATTTCGGCACACACGACCTATTCGAGGAAAAAATGCCATTGCTTTGAACTGCAACATGAGAAATCGACGATTCACATTAAAAAATTCGCTATGCTCTTGGGTAAAAATATGTACATACTTGCAAAGTAATTTATCTGAGACGATCTAATGATGTTTATGAGTGTAACCTTTCTTCATCTAATGCAACCCTGTGCTCGAGCAATTATTTCCAAAAAAACCACTTTGTGATCACCCTCTGACCCCCCAAAGTATTCTTACGGCTGCGTCCAACAGATTCCCGTCGTTCGTTCCGTCGTCGTTCGTTAATTTGGATGGTAGCTGCTGTAAAAGCAATTGTTAGGATTTATATTTCTTCTATTGGTATTCACAATTTAACATTTATATTATGATTTGTCTAATTTTGTTGTAATTGCATTATCTATGATTGATAATTAGTAATATTATAATCTGCCTAAGTAACTTAATTTCAGGCACTCGGATCAACCATTCAAAATGTAAAATTCAAAATGTTTCATTTAAAAATGTTAAAACTCTCTGATCATTTAAGATGAATCTCGGACCTTGTTTTCTCGTAAGATTGTTTCGAAATAAGATATCCACATGAAATAGATGATTAGGCAAACATTTTAATCTTTAAGATGTTTATTACCAGTGCGATCAAAAGTATTTTATCAGTCAGATGCTTTGTACTGTCCAACGATAAAAATCTCACCGTTGGAACTCGGAAAAAAAAAAATTTGTTACATTGCTTATTGCTGGATAACTAAATTTTCGGAAAAACAAGCAACAGTAAAAGTGATGCTCATCTGATAGCCGTTTGTAGGGCTCTAGACGCCGTGACTAGGTATATGCGAGTACTCGAAAAAGTTCACATCAAAAACGAAAAATTTCTATATTAAAATCGAATTTTCATCTGGACTTGTGCCACGGAAAGTGAGTACTCGAAACTTGTAAAGCGAAATAATAAAACTCATTACTTTTATTAAAAATATTTGATTTTGAAGTACAGACTTTTTAACTCAAAACAATGCAGAACAATCCTAATTATTTGATTTTAAGTCATATAATTTTCACGTTGAAATTCATGTTGACACACGGAAAAATTTTAAAAGCGTTAATGTATGAACTTCGATTCAAGTCTTCTATGATTCATAAATTGAAGAACGTTAAAACAATATAAAGTCGAATAATAACGAAATTAATTGTACTTATTACTAATAAAAAATTAGTTCGTAATGTGCAAGTTCATAGGTAAAAACTTACTCGGAAATTCATCGATTTCTAATATATCTGGTAAGTTTGGTTTCCTAATAGATTTTCCAAAAGTACGCCAAGGTGCACAAGTACTTGCATGACCCATCGGCAATCCATGTATCAATTCAGTCTGAAACGTAAGATGCAAAAAAGATGTGAATAAATTTTTTTAGAATATTAAATTTAAGGATAATCTTTTGTATATTTTAAATAAATGATATATGGTAGTCAAAATTGAATCCCTATGTAACGATTTTATAAATAGACCAATATTTCATAATTAAAAATTTCATGTAATTTGATTTGAGGAAAGAACAAACAATGAGAATTTATGGAAAAAATGTCATCGTATTTTTGGATCCTTCGAATGCTACGAAATAATTCAAAAAACTTCACGATTGGGCCCACCAAAGATAGGCCACAATAGGTTTTCCCAAATAATGAAAAATTTCTCAGTATATAAATAGCCACGATTGAATGTAGACAATATACTTCAAGAGTCGAGCGGTATAAAACACAATAATCATCATCGTTTACTACTGCTCTACAAATACAGGATGCAGATATGGTCAATTATAATTAATGCTCAACAAAACAAATTCAAGTCTTTTCTCTTTCTAATTTCTCCGATATCTTTTTAAAAAAATCTAAATCAGTGTGCCAAAGGTAAAAGTATCACATGGTCGCGTGTCTGACCTAGTACCCCTCGTATGCGTCAATCGACGTAAATATCAAATAGCACGTGATTCTGCATAAATTAAATTTGACGCGTGCAAAAAAGTAAAACAGCATGAAATCAATATTTCGGCCTCTATTGGTCAATGGCTAACTTTGTTTCGAAAAATTAAATTAATTAATACAAAACTAAGTGAAGTCAAATATTTTAATAAATCAAAGACCGATAAAAGTTGAAATTAAAACATAAAAACGTTTACATTAAAAAGCAAAGACGATTACATATTTACCTTAGTTGTAACTGAATAGAAACAAATTTTCGTTTGCGTGCGTTAAACCATAGCAAGAGACAGAGAAAGGGGGTGAGCGAGCGAGAAACTAATATAGAAAAATTTTCTTTTTCGCCGCAGAAAATACTGGAGAATTCACAAATATTCTTTGATTAATACTCAGATCATTTTCATTCAATTAGACCACCATTTAATCAGACAATCGAGTTGAATAATATGATGATTCGGATTTTTACGAATATGAATGAGTCGTAACGCACTTGGCAGATGAGTCGCAACTGATCACTGATGTGCACCGCCCACTGACTTGTGGATGCAACAGCTCCGATGGTACTCTGCGCGCGCATGAAGGTGGAATGAGGTAGTGGGAGGTGTTGATGGAAGCCTCAACACCTCTCGACGAGGCTATATCAATCATTGATATACTACAGACAGAGTAAAATAAAGTTTTTTATGTAGGTGCGTATAAATTGACTTGTGGCAATTATCATGTCGTAAAGGACACGATAACAAAGTTAAAAATGTATGAATATAATTTAAAAAAGAAAAGTGATAACAAACATTTCTTTGTTTGGGGAAAAATTCAATGCACGAAAAACCGAAGTTTTAATTTTAAAAATAAATTCATAATTTATATATAATTTGGAAAAGTATAATATTTAAGTAGCCCTTCAAGTGCAGAACAATAAAAAATGTGGGCATTGTCAAGAATCGATGTGCATAATAGAATTCCAAAACCACAAGTGATAAATTTAAAATCAAATCATACGTACACTAGATCAAGTAAAATAACGCTGATATCGAATTATGAGACTGTTTTGGAAGATCAGTAGTTAGATCAGCCCCGATAATCGGCGCTATACTGAAGCTCCTCCCACGAGAAAAATGGCATGGGCCTTGTTAATATCGAAGAGGCGGGACTTATTTTTGAGCTGAAGATCGACTTGTCGCTACTTGCTGATTACCATATCAAGAAAGTTTGGGCTGATATCAAAAAATTGGTAATTTATGTGTCTTCAACCAGTTATATTCAGCAGTTTTTCAGAGCTTTAAAAAATACAATGGGTACATAAAATTCAAAAAGTATAAATGTTGAAACGCCAAGATGATGTATACATAACAAGTCGAAATGTAAGTACCAAATTAGCGAAGACTTTGCCATCATTACTTGTATTATTCACAATATTTATAGGTGTAATAATTTGAAGTTTGTAGTATCACTAACGGCTTTTTTAACTCGAATCACACATGTACCGTTAATTTCGATGTGCCGAACGATAGACTCTGGGCCCTCGACAGCGCTCCAAGGAGCCTTGCTCGCTGCCATCGTCATGTTTACGCGGATGAAACTATCATCTATCTGCAAATAAATAAAAATAGATTTTACACATTACAACAACCACGAACTTATGTGATCTTCGATCTAAGCAGAAGCTTGAGACTTGTGCTTCATGCCGACGTTTAGCAGAACAACTCGCATAGCACGCAAGATACGTACGAATCAATGTAACACCATTTTAGCTCATTCAATTATTCCATAATTAGATCGTTTACCTTAGCCCCGATATACTTAACGCGTCATTCCGCTTAATAACGTCGGCCATGTTTACCCCCTCCGACTCTCGGATTACTTACGAACGCTCGTGCTCGAGATGTCGACAGGTGTACGCTTATTGGCACGCGTCTATATTCATTCATGATTTTCCGCTCGCATTACCCGAACGGCAGTATCTCGTAGTGCGCGTAAATGTACTTGGCACCGATCGATACGTGGTCCCACCTGTAGCTGCTCCAGTCACGCGGCGGGGCTGGCTTATACGCGAAGGCGCACTCGAACTCTAGTGCGAGCTGCCATCATCGGCGTCTGCTTATAATTTACACGTATCTTGCAGTAGCTATATATCTTTGTGGATGCCCGCGACTTATCATCGGAGCAGGTAAAACTTTATGCGCATCTCTTATATGTATCTCTTATTTTCATTTGTGAGAGGATCTCAAAAAATTAAAATTAGATGGGGTTCAAGATGTACAGTGTATAAACAAAGTGTACATTGTACACTTTTTTTCCAATTTTCCAAAAACTCTGTTTTGTATTTTTCACAGAACTGTAACGTCACCTTTAATTCATTATTAATAATTATGAAAATCATAAATGTTAAAATGATGTAACCGCGAATGAAAACGATTACTCTGCGAAAGCTGCGTCTTACAAGGTTTGAAATAGACCCGCAAATTAAGGTAGTCCCTCAAAAAAATGACTATCGATAAAGGGTCTTGAAATTTTAACCACATATTATTGACAGTGCTTTTCATACGTGTGAGAAATTTCAGGAACTTTAACCAAACCATTTCCGAAATATAATTAATCAAAGTTCGGTACTTCAACATGGGATCCCTATGCTAGCGTGTCGAAATGACGCTATTTTGTGTGATTTTAAAAAAACGCATCGATAAAATCTTTTCAAAAACTAGGAGATGATTGTTCAGTATGTACTAAAACATAGCTCAGAAACTGGAAAAACTTGACCAAACAGTTTTTAAGAAAAGTTAAGGTGATGCCTTGGCCACAATTTTTACCGACCGAGCACAGAAAATGTATATTGAAATAACTTTTTTACGAGACCGATTTTCGAAAAACGGCTCTGTAGAGCCCTCCGTATTGATGCTGGGAACATCTGCACCAAATTTCAGCCAATTTCATCGGGTAGTTTTCCTGGAAAACAGAATCAAAATTTTTCATCCTGCAAACAGTAGTCGAAAATTTCGAGCCTGTTTTCCGGGAAAACTATCCGATGAAATTGGCTGAAATTTGGTGCAGATGTTCCCAGCATCAATACGGAGGGCTCCACAGAGCCGTTTTTCGAAAATCGGTCTCGTAAAAAAGTTATTTCAATATACATTTTCTGTGCTCGGTCGGTAAAAATTGTGGCCAAGGCATCACCTTAATGTAAAAACATAGCAAAAATGAAAATTTTAACTTTTTGACCTGAAACCCACTTTTTACGGTTTTTGGGGTCATTTTAACCAAAAAAGTGCTCTTGCAAATTTTCTCTAAAATCTATTGTTAACGAGCTATAAACGATTCAAATTTAAACAATTTCAAGCAATGAATCTTTGCGATTTTTTATCTCAATAAGTATGAACTCTACGAAAAATTTTAAAATAACAAAAAAGTCTTAGAATTTGTCAAGAAAAGCGTGTGATTTCTTTGAAAAATTTGAAGTATTTTTTCTCGGCAACAACTTTAGTTACCTAATTAAAAAAATGTTCTCATTGATGGTGACCCAGAAACTGAAACGATCTAACCAATGCAGTTTATATGACCCTCGAATATGCAACTGGAAGTAAACTAACTGGTCAGATTCTTTCTTCTTTTTTGTCTGTAAATAAACCGTTTCAAGTAACTGAAACGTCAAGCTTGGGCAGTTTTTTGATTGTGGTCTAAGAAATCTAATAAAATCACTTTAAATACAAATTTTTTTTTTGGTTGTACACATATAGTTTTATTGGTTTTTTTATATACTTATTATGATTATTATGATTATTATTATTATTATTATTATTATTATTTGTTTTTATATGTATTTCTTTACTATTACAACGAAGCAAATGTAATGTTCTAAAGTTTTAAAATTGACCGACTAAGCTATTTAAATAAATTTGACTTCTTGATGATTACATGTATTTTTTAATAATGGCGTATTTTAGCTATTGCACATACAACTAATATAACTTTACCGACCAAATTACAAACTATTTGACAGTTGTTTAACATCGATTGTCGTTTTGCTTTATATAGTTATATTCATTAGGGTAACCGCACCAATGAATGACCGAGTTGTTGTTTTTTAAGTTTTGAAGAACCGCAAAAATTCAATGATTGCCACTAAATAAAAACTAAATATATCATCGCATAGTTAATTAAGTGTTCAATCAATTAAAAATATTGAAAAATCATTTTAGTATCGTGAATATTATTAAAAATTGTGATTTACCGTGTCACCTTAAAAACGCCAGTTAATGACCACTTGCAGAAAATATCTCCATTGAATGACCGGTCGACGTCCAGTAAATGACCGATACTATATCGTACTACACCGTACTACCGATACTATATCATACTATATCGTTTTTACAAAATTAAACATTACCGTTCGTTTAGATAATCAATACTATTCGTAAATAATTGTTACTAGTTCAGTAGTGGTCGAATTAGTACTGATTGAATTGGTTTTATTTAAAAATCAATACAAATAGATTGATAATAAACTTAACCTGTATACTATTGTATTCTCAAAGATCGGTCACTTATTGGTCGTATGCAAATCAACGCTTCGTACCAGTGAATGACCACAAAAAATTTTCAATATTTTTTTATGCGTAGTTTTTACAACTTATATGGGTTGAAAGTTGATTAAAATTATAGGTACAACATTGTTTCGTGTTGGAAAACTATTGTAAATTAGATGAAAATTCGTAAATTCAAGTTATAAGTGATAATTGATCATGTGGTCATTCACTGGTACCCGGTCATTGATTGGTACGAATACCCTATATCATAATCGGATATTCCATATGAATACCAAATTTCTCAATTCTCGTATAACTACTAACATATTCAGTATAAATTGAAACTTTCATTACACACTTCTGTATTTTCAAAGTACTATTCCGATACTAGTGGCATAAGTAACACTTTTGGGCACGGCGTAGTTTAGGGCCCGAGCACAGCGAGGGTCCTAAACTACGCCGTGCCCAAAAGTGTCCCCATGGCACGAGTATCGTACAACATTTTATAGCATTGTGCTAAGTTCACATTTATGCCCCCTTTTCCGAGTCATGAGTCGCACTTTCTGGTACCGCAAAGAGAGGTTAGCGCACGAGCGTATGTGAGTAAAATAATTTATAGCACTGCGTGGCATAAGTTCACATTTATGGCACGCTTTTCGTAGGCATAAGTCACACATTCTGGCACCGCTGCGTTCGCATCGCACTCGCATACGCTCGTGCGCTAACCTCACTTTGCGGTACCAGAAAGTGCGACTCATGACTCGGAAAAGGGGGCATAAATGTGAGCTTAGCACAGTGCTATAAAATGTTGTACGATACTCGTGACATATGTGACACTTTTCGGCCCAGTTATTAGGACCCTCGCTGCGCTGGGACCCTAAACTACGCCGTGCCAAAAAGTGTTACTTATGCCACTAGTACCGTAAAGTACTATAAAATTTAAAAATGTTGTCAAAACTATACTATACTTTAAATTGATGAAGTTGATTGAAAATTATTTCAGTTTTACTAATATTTTAAGTTCCAGCATCGTGAGGCGCGACAAAATTTTCTTTTTTCAGTTTTTTCACAAAATATTAATTAAAATTACTTGCCAAGTCTAGATTGGCATGTTGCTAAGCCGGAAAACCACCGAACAATTGTTCAAACTAGGCTTTTTATTTAAGGAGGTCTGTACCCCACTTACTAACCTACAAAGTCGAAAAAATTTGTTTTATTTATATCTTTTTTTCCAAATTGAATATCTAAAACTGGCTCTGTGAGAGCATTCATTTTGTTGCTCTGAATAGCTGGTAAAACGTGTTTGAAAATTTCAAGCCAGGGAAACGTGTGAAAATTTCAAACACGTTTTCCGAAAAATCCGGTCGGTAGAATTAGTAAAAATTTTTACCAGCTATTCAGAGCAACAAAATGAATGCTCCCCCAGAGCCGTTTTTCGATATTCGATTTGGAAAAAAAGATATAAATTAAATAAATTTTTCGACTTTGTGGGGTACAGATCTCCTTAAATGAACATTTAGTTGCATTTATACAGATTTAGTATGCTTAGTATTAGCGGTAACAGCGATAGTACTAACTATTGCGAAGATATCTTGCTCAAAGTATATCCTTTTACTTGAATTCAAGTTACAATTATGCATGTAGATAAAATAATTTTTATAATAATTCAAATAATAGATAATTTAAGCTCTTGATCAGCTTACGGAGCTCACTGCATGCCCTCCGGTACAATTTGAAAATATTCCTAGCTTAACTCGTCTGGACCGACCCAGTTTTTGATTTTTTATAACACTGCGTGGCATGAGTTCACATTTATGGCACGCTTTTCAGTGGCATAAGTCGCACATTCTAGCACCGCTGCGTTCGCATCACACTCGCATACGCTCGTGCGCTAACTTCACTTCGCGTCACCAGAAAGAGCGACTTATCCATCGGAAAAGGGGGCATAAATGTGAACTTAGCACAGTGCTATAAAATATTGTACGATACTCGTGACAAATGGGACACTTTTGGGCCTAACTATTAGGACCCTCGCTGCGCTCGGGCCCTAAACTATGCCGTGCCAAAAAGGGTTACTTATGCCACTAGTATCGTAAAGTACTATTAATTTATCTTTGAACTCAAGGTAAGGCAGCTGACCAGCTATCAGATCTTACTAGTCTTGATGCTGGCCGCTGTTTTTTCCATACCTGCACAGAGAGAAAATATACACGTTTGAGGGGGGATCTGTAGTAAACGAAAATCGCTGGAACGCTTGCCTGGCTCAATCGCTGGCTATCCGGTGATGACCGCCGGAGACTCCAGCATCGCTTTGGCCAGTCGCACGCTGGGACTGGAGTCGACCTATTTTGTTAGATATTCGACTTTGAAGGTTTCCCGGCGATTTTATCGGGAAAAAATGAAAATTTCGGAAAATTTGACCATACCTTTGTAAAGCTGAGACAATTTTCTATCAGAATAATGGATTCATTAATTTTTTTAAGCGAATTCAGGTACTTTTTCAGCGAGTTATTAATTTAACAATTAGACTAAATAATGCCGCACGGCCCTATTTCGACTCAAGTCCTAGCGCGGAGTCTCCGGCGATCATTGCCGGACGGCCAGCGATTGAGTCAGGCAAGCGTTCCAGCGATTTTCGCTTACTACAGGTCCTCCCGCAAACGCATATATTTTCTCTCCATGTGCATACATGGCTGCACCACATAAAACTATTAACAGTAAATGCAATGAAGAACATTTTATTTTGAACTTCAATACAGGCTTGATTAAGTTCAAAAATATTTAAAACGATACCTGTCAGAATTTGCGGAAAAAAATTCACGAAAAATACCTTTCTTTAGCCGATAAACTAGCATAACCCTTTTAAACATGTTATACTTCACGTTGTTAAACAGTCTGAATCGATTTCTCGAGGTTGATTTGTTTAAAAAAAGTTTCTTTAATAGTTATGAACAAATTACGACAGTTTTAACTCGTTGGGGATCCGGAAAAATATATTGCTCAGATCGATATTGCCGTTTTGATAGATAACGTGTAGAGGCATTCATTCCCTCATGATAGCCGCGTTCGGATCATCGCCTCTCCTCAGCAGCAGATCGATCAAGTCTCCGTTGTCGGAACTCACGGCCAGGTGCATCGGCGTGTCGCCTTTCTCGTCCTGGACATCGACTCGCACCCTATCTCCAGCAAACTTGAACATTGTACTCGCCCACCACAGGTCGTATTTGTTACCTCCGCAGATGTAGTGCAGAGGTGTCCACCCCCATTCGTCGGGCTGATTTGGATCAGCACCTCGTCTCAGCAGCGCTTCAAACATCTTCGCGTTCTTATAGAGCAGGCTTGTGTACAGCGGTGTCAGCCCTTCATTATCTCGAGCGTCGATCCGCAGGGGCCGATCCTCGGCATCGCAAAAATTCAGCAACACCTTCGTCACGTGATAATTACATTTTTTCCTGGCGAGAACGTGCAGAGGCGTACATCCTTCTATGTTAACCGCGTTCGGATCAGCGCCTACCGTCAGCAAGAGCTTGGTCAACTCTCCGTTGCCGGAATTCGCGGCCAGGTGCAACGGCGTGTCGTCGTTCTCGTCCCGACCTTCGACTCGCACCCTATCTCGAGCAAGCTCGAAGAACGTATTTGCCCACGGCAGGTCATCATCGTCGCATTCTTTCCTGGCGAGAACGTGCAGAGGCGTCCATCCCTTGTTGTTAGCCGCGTTCGGGTCAGCGCCTCGTCTTAGTAGCAGCTCAGCTATCTCCCAATTGTTGTTCTTCAGAGCCATGTGTAGTGGTGTATCACCGTTCTTGTTTGGGGTATCCATGTGGACAACTTAATTGTTGCCTTCGCACAAGTAGAAGAATAACTCCTACAAGCAGAGAAGTAGTTCCGTATTCGTTGGATAGATTTGAATTACGCCTTTTTTCAGCAGCAGCTTAAGTGGTAGTAGAAGTAGTAGTAGTAGTAGTAGTAGTTGTTGTTGTTGTTGTTGTAGTAGTAGTAATAGTAGTAGTATTTCAGATCTCATTCGTCTGTAAAAAATTTATATTTTATTCATTTTACTATTTTTTACTAGTGGCTACAATTGTTGCTAAAGCTGAGCAATCAAATTATTTTAATAATTGTGATTAAATACTACACAGAAAAAAATTTTATGTGCAAGTCCAGCTGGATGGACAGCTAGATCAGCAAAAGATATTTTGCTAACACGGCAATAGTACTTTATGATCCAAGTGCTATAAGTAACAGTAATAGCTGGGCCGAAAAGTGGCCCCATGGCACGTGTATCGTACAACATTTTATAGCATTGTGTTAAGTTCACATTTATGCCCCCTTTTTCGAGTCATGAGTCGCACTTTCTGGTACCGCAAAGTGAGGTTAGGGCATGAGGGTATGCGAGTGTGATGCGAACGCAGCGGTGCCAGAATGTGCGACTTATGCCACCGAAAAGCGTAACATAAATGTTAACTTATGCTACGCAGTGCTATAAATTACTATTATAGCACTGTGTGGCATAAGTGTGCACATTTATGGCACGCTTTTCTATGGCATGAGTGGTAAATTCTGGCACCGCTGCGTTCGCATCACCCTCGAAAATTTTGTCCTCTTCAAATCCATATATATTATGTATGGGTTCAAGTCAATATCGTCGCCCCAGCGCAAGAACCGCACAAATAAACTTAAGGGGCAAAAACAACCTTATCCCTATGTTAAAAGGATAGGATTAAGGCACCTTTTTGCCACTTGAGTTTATTTGTGCGGTTCTTGCGCTGAGGCGACGATATCAAGTTACCAAAAATGTTTGGGCGCAACACTGAAAATTATTGGAAAAAAGTTGATTGTTTGAACGTGTCCATGGACTATAGTAATTAGTTGATCAAAATCTAACATACATTTTCGCAAAGTACTCTTGCCAACGAGTAATTTAAAAAAAATGGAGCCCTCTACGATAATTTTTTCGCCCTGTAACTAATTTTTACGATGCCAACAACATAAAAGCAGACTTTAAATACCAACATTATAAAGAAGAGCTTTCTAACTTGTATGATAATAATGAATAAATGTGACTGTCAAATTGGGTATAACTCATTAAAAAATCTGAAAGTGCTTGCGTTTGTAACCACACATCTAATGAACAAAATGAGACCCCAATGACCATAATTGAATCATCGGTTTTAGCTGGATCTTACGACACAGGGGTACCTCTCAGGACTATGGACTTGCTTCATCAGGGAGGATTCTATAGTGACGGGGACCTCAATTTTCATATTCCAGAGTGAAAAACTTTGAAAAAAGAGTGAAGAAAACAGAGTTTTCTCTGTATATTCCAAAAAAAATTTTTTTCTTCATAATTAATAAATTTTTCATAAACGTAGGTTTAAGGTACCTTTCCCCCCTTAATTGACTTCGGCCACAATTTTTTTGTGATTTTTGTCTCGTATAATTTTCACTGAAAAATTATCACAAAAAGAGTGAAAAAAACAGAGTTTTCTCTGTATAATTAAAAAAAAATATTTTCTTAAATTTTAATGAATTTTTTATAAATGTAGGTTTAAGGTACCTTTCCCCCTTAAGCTATAGAACATACAACTAATATAACTCTACCGACCAAATAACAAACTATTTGACAGTTGTTTAACATCGATTGTCGTTTTGCTGTATATAGTTATATTCATTATATCATAATCGGCTATTCCATATAAATACCAAATGTATTATTCATTTTGTTCGAAACAAATAATGTTTTTTAATGATATTTGATAATTTTCGTAGGAAACTAAAATCTTGGATGCACTTTGAACTTCGTAATATCGTTGCCCGCGTCTTTGCGACTATGTCGAGCCTGCAAAGGTGTGGTGATTTTCTTGCGTCGGACGTTCGGGGTATGCTGGTCACAACGTTGGTGTTCCCGCCTGTGGACTATTGTGCTTCGTTGTTCCTGGGCATCTAGGCGGAGCAGACCCTTAGGATCAGGCGATGCATAAACGCTGCTGTGCGTTTCTTCACTGGGCTCAGGAGGTGGCAACATATTACTCCACAATATGTGAAATTTAACATCCTGCCTTACGAGAAGAGAATCCAATGTGCTTGCCTTGGCCTGCTCTCGTCTGTGCTGCGCAATGGAAGGCCTGACTACGAGTCGACGGAGTTTGAGTTTCGGAAGGCTCCTGCAGGCAGCTCTAGGAGGGATGAGCTGGAGCTGGTCGTTACCAGGGTTAATACGGACTGTGCTTGCTTTTCATTTACAATTGAAGCGGCGCGCTTGTGGACGGAATTTCAGAAATATGAGCTTCAAGAAGCTTCTGTGACAGCATATGATAGAGGCTTGATTTGTCTTTGCCTGTCTCTGTCTTTGTTTATGTTTATTTTTTTTACAGGGTTCCCTCGTATAACGCGGGGGTTACGTTCCAAACATGTACCGCGTAATGTGAAACCGCGTTATACGGGACCTTAGATTTATGGGAAAAGGGGGGTTCCATTCCTGGTCATGAAAATTAGAGATGAAAAATTTCGTAAATTAAATAAAAATGTACATTTTTTCAAATTATACATGTATTCATATATTTTTAAAAAAATCCGTCATTTTTGATTGTTTGACTCTTCTCAAAAAATCTTTATGAAGTTCTTCATAAATTTGAATTGCGGACTCGCAGTGTCTCTTAAATTGTAAACTTCGCACCACAAGGGGATCAGACTGAATTGCTGTATCAATTGCGCTATGAATGAGATTCATGATTGCAACAAGTCTCTTGGCATCGAAAGATTTTTCCTCAATAGCAATGTCCGTTGCGTCATTAGGAGCGTAATTCGAAATTTCTTCAAGCTCTTCGACTGAGTAACTCGGTTGCTCCGAGCGTACAATATAGGTAAGACATCAGAAGTTGCCATGTCTTCGATTCATTGACGTCGAAACGTCTAGCAATAACAGCCACTTGTTCACCACTTCTCAAAAGATTGAGCACTTTTAATTTTTCCGCGAGATTCAAGCCTTTCCTCGTTGGCTTTAACGATTTCCTTGGACTCGGTGCCATTGCAGTTAAATAAAAATATAAATCAAATGATAGAAAGGACTCTCCAAAAAAATACGTGTACATCGATGTCAAAAAAATATATTATTTAAAAAAATTGTACGCGTAAACAATGAATATTGCTACGTAAATACGCGTTATAGGGTTCCAAAAATCCGCGTTATATGAGGGGTCGGAACATTCGATAAACCGCGTTATAGGGTAAACCGCGTTATAAGAACCCGCATTATACGAGGGACTCCTGTATTTTGTTTTCTCTTTTACCAACTCAACGTTTGCTTATGCTTTTGCTACTGGCTGCGGCCACGTAGCGTCTTATGTGTTATATATTATACCTAAGTAGCTGTAAGAGGTGAAGGATTGCTGTCCATGAATGATTGCTGTCCTTGGTTAAATCATACACACAAATAAATAAATTCTCTTTCAAATTCTCTTTCAAATATCTAAAAAAATATTTAACTGAAAATAATAATGACTCATGTGATTATCTACAGATTATATAACAAAAAAAAACCTGATTTTTTTACGATTGCTTTAATTCCGTTTGGCAAGTCAGTTTTTGAAAAATCCTTCTGATTCAATGATTGAAAATAGAGACGGAAAAAAATATGAATCATACAATTTATATGGAAAATAATTAATTAAATGATTTTACCATACTTTTACGTCAGTTTTTAGGTTATTTGTTGGAGAATTTCCATTATAATTCATATTTTTGATTGATTCCAAAAACTGCTTGTACGTTTCTGTTACTTCCGTAAAAAATGAATGTTTTTCAAAATTAAGAACATTTCAAAATAGGATAGAATTAAAGAAATTTTTTCTTGGAAGCTCTAACCGTTCCGAGCAGATTCGATTATATAATAATTTGTAAATTTCAGTGTTATAATCATGATCACTAACGTGAAAAAAGACATAATTTTATCTTTTTTTACAATGAAATTTTTTTCGATTTATTATCAATACAAAATCCGTACATTATCGTTAAGTTCATTTTACGAACACGAATACTTCCAAGTACGCGCATATGAACGAACATAATGTCAACTCCTTTTTATTCCTCATTTTCATTTTGCGACAAGCTTAAAAAATTAAAACCAGAAGAAGATGTACACTTCGTAAGGCTTACCTTTACGATTATCATTGTCGGCATTGTTTGACAAGTCATAGAGGATCCAGCTACATTGGTTTTCTTTGTAAATACGCCATTGGTACCTCATTGATTCATTGGTAAAATCGATTTAATATTCATCCCAGTTCCATCAAAATCACAACGCAAAATATTATATTCACTGGTTTTTATATTACGGCCTAGGCTTTTTTTTACTTGTATGTGTGCTTTTGTTATAAATGGACTTTACATTAACAATATCAATAATTTTTTAGTTACATTCAGAAATAATGATACCACGCGGATAAGTTTTTTCGGTATTAATTATTTACATTGTAAAAATGTTGTCAAAATTATGCTATACTTCAAATTGATGAAGTTGATTAAAAATTATTGCAGTTTTACTAATATTTTAAGTTCCAGCATCGTGAGGCTCAACAAAATTTGTTTTGTCAGTTTTTTTACAAAATATTAATTAAAATTACTTGTCAAGTCTAGATTGGCATGTTGCTAAGCCGAAAAACGGCCAAACAATTGTTCAAACTAGGTTTTTTATTTAAATGAACAAAATGTATGTTTTTCAATGCGGTAATTGAAGCTGGATTATTCTGAAAAGAAAAAGTCACTCGAAATTTTTCTCTGAATTCGATTGATATCAAGATATATAACATTCTTTAAGTAAAA